TCTTGATTTTATTGCATTTTACAAAATGTCCCAACTTCTCTGGAATTGGGCTTGTATTAACACTTGCAACTATATTATACAGTTCTATATACAGTATATATACATACAGTATGTATATACAGTATGTATATATATATATATGTATATATAGTAATCAACTAAAACAAAAATTAAATAAAAAAGATACCTAAAATAAAATAAATTTTAACTAAAATAAAATTACAGCTAGTTGCCAAGGCAACATTTCTCATTTTAATTTAGTTTAACTTTAGTTTAACTTTACACACACACACACACACATATGTATATACACTCTAAAAAATGCTGGGTTAAATATAAAAAGGGACAAACCCAGCTATTGGGTTTATTAAATGTTAAATTAATAGATTATGAAATCATATTTGGCTCAAAAACCTGAGATTTGTGATTATTTGCTGCACCACCCAACCTTTATTAATTAATTAATTAATTTTTTTTTTTGCTTTTTAGAAATTGAAGCTTTATTTTATAAAAAAAACAGTCAGTAATGAAGTCAATATTCAATATTGTTTTTTATTAGATTTATAGCAACAACAACAGTGAACAAACAACATACCAAAAAACAAAAACAAACAAACAAACAAAAAGTAATGAAGTCAATAAATGTCAGCAGTTTTTTAATCCAGTAGTCCAAAATATAACATTTTTCTACATTTTAGGTTTTAAAACTTCATTTTGTAAAGTTAATATTACTGGGTGCAAAGAGAGGCCAAAGAATTTATACATAAGACATGCATTTGTTTAACAGAATAGGTTGTAAATAGTTCATCAGCAAGTTTACATCTGCAAACAGACAGGACACTCTATTGCTGATATGCCAGTTCCTTGCTGGAGTCGAATTTGTTTTCTAACCAAGATAATGATCTCAGCCATTGTTCCAAATAAAGCAAAGGAGTCTTATTCTCACAAGCGTGAATCTGCCTCAGCTATTTAAGCCTCAGACGCTCAAAATGCTGCTTCAGTGCCTTTTTCTGTGTGTCTTACTCTACAGTCAACATGGCCACTGCAGCTACATCTGTCCAAAAAACTGCATCTGTGAGCAAGCAAGCTCAGTGCAATGTTTCAGGGCTCAGGCTGTACCACCGCTCGTCTCAAACAACCTGAAGAAAATACACCTGGGATACAATCACCTCAAAGAGCTGAAGGTCATTTTTTGTTTGTTCTTTATTGATGTTATTTTGCTGTTTAGGATTAAAACATTCATTCATTCATTCATTCATTCATTCCCAGTGGATGAAATCATTTTTTTTCTTGTTAATTTTGCTGTTTTACTTTAAAATGTGTCACATTACAAAGGTAAAATTGGTAGTCAATTCATAATTCCAGAATGTCTTTCTCTTAGTTTTTTGTTTGTTCTTTGTTCATGTTATATTGCTGTTCAGGATTAAAACATTTATTTATTTATCCATTCATTCATTCATTCCTAGCGGATGAAATAAAAAAAAATTCTTGTTAATTTTGTTGTTTTACTTGAAAATGTGTCACATTGCAGAAGTAAAATTGGTAGTCAATTCATAATTCCAGAATGTCTTTCTCTTAGTTTTATTTTTTACACCTTTGTACTGTAATGTTTCTTTAATTACATTTATTTATTTCCATTATATCAGTTGGTTTTAAACAGATTTGTTTATTTATTAATTCCCAGTGGATACATTTTTTTTTTCTTATTGAATATCCTAATATGTTCTTTATTTAGTAGTTCTTTATTTTAATAGCCTATTGTATTTGTTGATTTTAATCTGGTGGGATCGAGCAGATTGACGCCAATGTGTTCAGATCTCACGTCTTGTTAAGAACTCTGGACCTTCAGAAAAACAAGTTAAGACAGCTTCCCCGCGGCCTGCCCTCGGGCCTGGAGATCCTCCATTTGGGCCACAACAGGATACACAGCCTGCAAGAGTCGCCCCTGGAGGGCCTCAAGAAGCTGCGGGTCCTGAACCTCCAGAATAACCAGATTAGCACCTTACGCACAAACACCCTAACATTACTTCAGAGGCTTGAGTGTCTTTATCTGGATGAAAATCAAATCGAATCAATACATGGCGCCCCCAGGTTGCCCTTTCTCAGTTTGCTTAGCATGGGAAGCAACAGGATCTCCTCCATATCATCAACGTTCTTCTCTTCACTGCAGCTTCTAAAAACGTTAGATTTGTCTTCAAACCGCCTCAGCAAAGTCCCTCATGGTCTTCCTCGGTCTCTGGTTCATCTGAACTTGGACAGGAATCAGATTCGATCGCTGAGGAATCGTGACATGTCCCAGCTGCACAACCTCATTACCCTTTCTGTTAGCTCTAACAGGCTAGTGTCAGTGGACGGGGGTCTTCGCCTGCCTAATCTGTCTGTGTGTGAGTTGGCAGGAAACCAGCTACGAATACTGCCTGCTAGATTGACCTCTAAACTCGAGAAGCTGGACTGCAGGCAGAACAATATCCAGGAAGTCACTTTCCAACAGCTAGCAGGAATGAAACTACTGAAACATCTCTTTTTGGAAAACAACTCCATCCAAAACTTTGAAGCCAATACCCTGAGAAACTGCATTCAACTAACCAGCCTAGCGTTAGAACAGAATCTGCTTTCTGCTATTCCTCATGGGTATGTGCATCTTTTTCTTCACTTAATGCATTGTTATTTGTTTGATTTCCTCTGACATAAACTAAAAGTCAATCTGTGTTTTTAGTATCATTGAAATAATAGTTTTTTATTAACATTTTGATATTAATATTAATTAGTATGATTAATATAATTAATATGAATATTTTCCAGTTTTATTTTAATTTCAATTTTAGTCATTTTGATATGTTTTTGACCTTTTTTTTGTATAGTTATTACATAGTAACATTTTATTTTATTTGAGTTTATGCATTTGTTTATTTATGCATTTATTTACGCATTAATTTAAACATTTGTTTATGCATTTATTTACACATTTATTTAGTTTATTTATGAGTTGATGCATTTGTTTACAAATTAATTTACACATTTATTCATGAGTTTACGCTTTTACTTATTCATTTATTTATGCATTAATTTACACATTTTTGTATAGCTTTTACATAGTAATATTTTTAAAATGTAATTTATGAGTTTATGCATTTGTTTAATTATGCATTTATTTACACATTAATTTAAACATTTATTTATGCATTTATTTAGTTTATTTATGAGATTATGCATTTGTTTACAAATTAATTTACACATTTATTTATGAGCTTACGCTTTTATTTATTCATTTATTTACGCATTAATTTACACATTTTTGTGTAGTTTTTACATAGTAATATTTAATTTTATTTATGAGTTTATGCATTTGTTTAATTATGCATTTATTTACGCATTAATTTAAACATTTATTTAGTTTATTTATGAGTTGATGCATTTGTTTACAAATTAATTGACACATTTATTTATGAGTTTACGCTTTTATTTATTCATTTATTTATGCATTAATTTACACATTTTTGTATATTTTTTTCATAGTAATATTTTATTTTATTTTATTTATGAGTTTATGCATTTGTTTAATTATGCATTTATTTACGCATCAATTTACACATTTATTTATGAGTTTATGCATTTGTTTATTTATGCATTAATTTATACATTTATTTATGCATTTATGCATGCATACATTTACTGTATTTATGCATTTGTTTGTTTATTTATGCTTTTATCAGACTGAATATGATGTGATTAATTGGTCATGTTAAATAGCTCAAGAATCTCTTGATAACTTTCTATTAATCAGTTCTTTTAATATTCTTTTTATACCAGGCTTCCTGAGACACTGGTCCGTTTGGATCTGAAGGGGAACAACATTGACACGATACATGAGCGTGAGCTGAAGCCTCTCAGGCGACTGCAGGTGTTAAATCTGCGCAACAACAAACTCTCCACCCTGCCTGCATTGAATCTACCAAAACTAAAAGTTCTATATTTGGATGGAAACCCATGGCAGTGCAACTGTGAACTCATCCAGGTCAAAAAGGCCCTTTTAGCAAAGGATGTGGAAATCAGGCCTGACTTCTGCAGCGAGCCTGTCCATGAATCTCTTGATGAATGGCGAGCTTATGTACTGGCACAAGATATCTGTCAGAAGCAGACCAGAGATTTGTTATTGGAGAGCCAAACTGAACACACAGACAATGAGGAATATGATGATTATGATTTGTAAATGTAATCCTTACATATGAAGACATTGCAATGTTGTTCTGCCTCTCTGCATGCTTCGTTTCTGTTTGCATCCCATATAGAATGAACAATAAATTAAATCTTGTCCAATATTGGTCACCGTCAGTGATTTGGACAACAAAATAAAACCAATTGTATTTGACTTGGAAAATATAGCTTCGTTTCATTAAACTCCAGAAAGAAATCAGAAACAGACTCATAAAAAGCCATTTCATATTAATTTCATATTAATATATTCAGGAAAAATTTCATTTGATACTGTATTATAGTTTAAAAATGTGATATAAATATTTCTATAAAATACATCAATATTAAATTCAAATATATATTAATTATCGTTTTATAGTTGCAATGTTGAGGCATTTAACAGTGGCTAGTAGTAGTACGTGTTAAAAGTCGTTTTAATCCTATCATCAAACAGATTCAAATATTTCCTTCAATAAAACGTTTTATATATTCTATGACGCGGAGTAAAATATGCATAAAATATTTTACTTTTTATATTCATAGATCAAATTAATAGACATTTCAGTGATAGGATTTTTACACATACTCCATTTACCGGTACAGCAGCCAATCGCATTGCACCATCTCGCGCAAGGCTGAATTCTCATTTTATTTTGATCTGAGATCAGCCGTCAAATGTTCTTCTCCCGCCTTAGCACTGCCGGGAAACGTCACAACTGATCTCAGACCAGGGATTAGAATGACGCACAAGCGCTCTGTCAGTCGTCCAATCAGAGAGCTCCATGTCACACAGCAGCGGGTTCAGAGTGGAAAGGTTGGCAAGATGAAGAAATGGCAGCCGACGCGCTGCGGTGTTGGCAGTGACCAAAATGGCTCATTTCTCGATAGACCATTGCTCACACCGACACGGATTACTTTAATATGAGGAATTTACTTCAAAATCCCATAGATACATTCAACTAGGAACGCGGTTCTAAGACTTTGAAGCATGGCTTTACTGTATGAGATGGCGTGGCGCTTTTTGCACGCGCTGCTCTATGTGCAGCGCGCGCTGGTCGCCTGGTTCCGAGTCCACATCTGGAGGTGGAAACGGGCCGTGGTGGGCTTATTGCTGCCCCTTGCCCTCGGCTTTCATAATCCGAAAAAGACTGGAGCCATAGGCAAACGGACCAGCCGTCGGGTTCGCTGGGGAGCCGATGGCAGGACGTTAGAGAAGCTGCCTCTTCATGTGGGGTTATTGATCACTGAGGAGGAGATCCACTTCACTGACGTCGCCAATCTAGTGGTCTGGTGCATGGCAGTGGGCATCTCATATGTCAGTGTGTATGATAACCAAGGTAAGACTTATTGGGATTCTTATGCATTGAATAAAGGGAAGTGAATGGCAGTCACATGCATCCAGTCACCTGCTGTTTCTTGACTTGAGCAAACTAAAGAGTTCATTTGGCGCACTTAATGTAACTTACTTTGTGTTTAGATATGATTGCTTTTATGCCAATGCTTCACTTTTTTTGCTCTTATTGATGTCAGATATAGTATGTTTATGGTTGGTTATCAATATATGGGTTAAAGACGAGACGTACCATTTTGGTTTCTGCATCAAATTAAACGTGAAAAAAGTGATTTTAAATACATAAACTATGTACTATATACTAAACGTGTGAGACATGCACCAAAACTTCTTATTCCTTGATTTCAAGAATGAAACTAGACTTTGTAATACCACTATTTGCATGAATGTTTCTTTGAACCCGTTTGAAGGTTTTGAAAAGCGTCTTACTCAAACTTTAATTCTTGTCTTTATAATGTAACAATCTGTCTGGTCTGTTTCAAAACAGTGCCTTTCACCTCAGTATATTTCTCAATGGAAGTAGGGGAGTGTCTGATATCATATGCTGCTTGTAACTTTTGACATATTTTATAACTGACAAATATGTGGTAAGGGTTAACAGAGATCTGAGATGAATAACGTTATTAATAGTAAAGTCCACTCTTTATTCGTTCATGCCACTATGGACCAAGTAATTTTAAGACAAAACCAATAAGTCCGTGGTTTTCAACTAGTTTTGATTCAAGATTTGTTTTCTCCTCCCTTTTAAATATAGATGATCATGTTAATTTTGCTTTATTTTATTGTTTTATTATTTAACAGTGATTATTCCCTGTCAGAACAGAACTGTGTCCCTCCATTTGAAAGCCACTGATCTAAACCACATTGTCAAGTTCAACAAATTGAGTTCTCTCATGTGACACGTTTCTTAATTAGCCTCAAATGTTGAGAGTCTAAATTTGTCTTCTGAAAGTGTGAGGTTGCTGATAACATTTTAGATTGATGTTAATGATATAACAGATGCTAAAGTCTAAGCTGGTTTTTATGGTTGTTTCTAATTTTAATGGATGAAGAACATGGAGGGTTTCTTTCTGGAGTTATATTGTCTAATGGGTGTGGGACGTCTTGTTTTACAGGTGTCTTCAGGAGGAATAACTCCAGACTCATGGAGGAGATCCTGAAACAGCAGCAGGAGCTTTTGGGAATGGACAGCTCCAAATACTCGGTGGAGTTTATGAAGAACGGTACAGATAAACAAGAGCATCAAGGTGAGGCTCAAAACCTGAGAAAACAACTGTTGCTTTTTGTTTGAGACACTCACTGTGGGTGGACGCCTATACAAACAGGTTGGATCAGAATATTTAGTCTAGGATGAATGCAGGTTTTGCACCTTTATGATCTCTGTGATGGATCGCAATGATTAATTGTTTACACCTTTTATCTGTTTTCATGGCTTGGGCTTGAAAACACTTGTTAATTCACATGTTAATTGTGGAGAAACAGACACTATTATGCAGTTTTGTCTGGAAAAGATTCATTGTTGCTAACCTCTGTAGATCAGGGAATTGGTTTTATTTTTCCAAAGTTGCCTTGAGCAAGTCATGTTTTAAGAACCGTATGGAACTCGATCCAGAGTGACACAGTGATACATGGGAAAACCCTCTTCGCTTATTGTTTTACTCCTAGCCTATATATTTTTTTGGGCAAAACAAGGACTTTTCTGCTGATTCAGTTGAACTAGTAGTTCAGATTTTGCTCTGCCAACATATTTATACTTTTCAAAGGTGTGAGATAGGCTTGCCGCAATAGACGGTGCTGACGGTGATTATTTGTTATTTTATATTAGGCATAGCCTGCCCTATAGCATGGTGTATTTGTATTTGTTTTGTTAATAAAAGTTCTATGTTTTATATATAGGCTAAAGTGTGACTGACGTTGTATTTTGTTGTTGCATTCAAGCAATTGACGCCGAACTGCCGCTAATTCGAAAGTGAAAGTAAAATGTGCACGGCGCTTTTAAGCTATTTAAAAGTGAAGGAAAGCGAGGAAAAGAGGGGAAATTCAAACAAACTAAAAACGAACAATTGCTTTACGCCGAATTACCGCTGTTTGAAAGTGAAAGTAAAATGCGCACGCACCTTTTACAAGCTATTTAAAAGCGAAGGAAAGCGAGGAAAAGAGGGAACGCCCCCGCCTCCACGGTGATACCGGTATTAGCGGTGTTGTCACACGTCGATTAACCGGTGGGAAAATTTCCTCACCGTCACAACCCTAGTGTGAGATCAGGGAGAATTTTTCAAAGAAATTAATTCGTTTTTTATTCAGCGGGGATGCATTAATTTGTTTAAACATGACAGTAAAGTCTCTTATTTTACAAATGATTTCTATTTCAAATGCTGTCCATTTCTGTTCATTACAAATTCTTAAAAAATTGTTTCCACAAAAATATTAAGAAGCAACTTTTTTTTTACATTGATAATAATAGGAAATGTTCCCATGACCCCATTCAAAAGTCTACACACCCTTGAATCTTAATACAATGTGTCATTTCCTGGATGATCCACAATGTTTTTATATTTTTTGATAGTTGTTCATGAGTCCCTTGTTGGTCCTGAGCAGTTCAACTGCCTGCTGTTCTTCAGAAAAATCCTCCAGCTCCTGCACATTCTTTGGTTTTCCAGCATCTTCTGCATAGTTGAACCCTTTCCAACATTGTCTCTATGATTTTGAGATCCATATTTTCACACTGAGGACAATTACAAAAGGTGAAAACATTTACTGATGCTCAAGAAGGCAACACAATGCATTAAGAGCCTAAACGTTGTAAACTTTTGAACAGGATGGCAACAGTTCAAAGAGGGAGTGTACTGGATGTGAGGGGTCCAGAGTGATTTTGCTAGCCCTTTTGCTCACTCTGGATGTGTACTGTGTACTCACACAATGCATTGTGTGGCCTTCTTGAGCATCAGTAAATGTTTTCACCTTTTGTAATAGTTATGCATGAGTCCCTCAATTGTCCTCAGTGTTAAAAGATGGATTTCAAAATCATAGTCAATGTTGGAAAAGGGTTCAAATATGCAGAAGATGCTGCAAAACCAAAGCATGTGCAGGAGCTGGAGCATTTTTCTGAAGAACAGCAGGCAGTTGAACTGGTCAGGACCAACAAAAGACTCATGAACAATATATATACAGTGGGTACGGAAAGTATTCAGACCCCCTTAAATTTTTCACTCTTTGTTATATTGCAGCCATTTGCTAAAATCATTTAAGTTAATTTTTTTTCCTCATTAATGTACACACAGCACCCCATATTGACAGAAAAACACAGAATTGTTGACATTTTTGCAGATTTATTAAAAAAGAAAAACAGAAATATCACATGGTCCTAAGTATTCAGACACTTTGCTAGGTGAAAACATTTACTGATGCTCAAGAAGGCAACACAATGCATTAAGAGCCTAAACGTTGTAAACTTTTGAACAGGATGATGTGTAAATTCTTCTCATTTTGTTTAACAATCATATTTTTTCATTTAGTACTGGACTTCAGAAGCTACATAAATACTTACATGTTTCCCAGAAGACAAAATAGGTACAATTTACCCTGATCATCCAATTTAAAAAGTTTACACCCCCATCAGAATGAGCTTTATTGCCAGGTATGTTTACACGTACGAGGAATTTGTTTTAGTGACAGAAGCTCCACAGTGCAACAGAATGACAGTGACAGGACATGGATAATAAAAAGAATAATATACAAATAGACAATGTACAAAAAAAGCAAAAACACAATATATAATAGACAATTTTGTATGTACAAAAAAAAATTAACTTAAATGATTTTAGCAAATGGCTGCAATATAACAAAGAGTGAAAAATTTAAGGGGGTCTGAATACTTTCCGTACCCACTGTATATATATATACCGCTGCTAAATTTATCCCTCAAATTTTCATCATTAAAATAACTTTGTATGAGCCTGTTCACAAGATGTGACTTGTGATTGCTGTTTTAATCTCAGTCTCATCACATGTCTGACCATAACAAGAAGACTGACTTCATATTTAGTCACTTGTTCTGAGTTACTCAGTTTCAAAATGGAAAATACACCAATGTCTATGCATTGCCTGATTGCTTTAGTCCGTTTAAATGTTGTCCACACTTAATATAAAGCAATTTTTTCCTGTCTTCTATAGTGTTACCTTGTCAGTCAGTGGTGAAAGTCTTATCTCCAGACGATGGGCGGCTCAGTATCGTCCAGGCAGCCCAGCAGCTCTGCAGGGCCGTTGAGCAGAAGGAAAAGACAATCAAAGACATTAACGTCACTGTGCTGGACTCATTACTCAGAGGTGAGGTTACAGCGTGTCTGTCAGCTGACAAGCACAAACAGTTATATATGAGCATTTAGTCCTGTAATTTGACTGAGCAATCCACACTGAGACTTAGGGTTATATATATATATAAAATTTTAAGGTCTTGTGTTAGTCTTTTAAAGGATCTGGTCAAATCTTTTCCTTTCTTTAGTGAAGAATGCCGATAGGGATTAGAAAAGGAGAAAAGACAAAGTTTTCAAAGTCCCTTATGAGAAATTTCAAGTGAAAGCCAGTGAAATAATAATTAATGGGGTATTGTATTGGTGATGTCTTTTCAGAGTACAAGAGTAGAATAAAAAGAAACACCTTTAACATCAACTTTTTAAAAGCTGTGTAATGTAAAAAAAAAGATTAAAAACTCATAAAACATTGAAAATACCAAACAATATAATAATTTACTGACCATTTATATGGTAATTTGACATTTCTTTATAGATGCAAAGATTTAAACCTTTGATATTTCAAATAAATGGACCTTTTTTGTGACCGAATAAAAACCGTAAATTGACATTTTAATAAATATTGGGTCATAATATTAAATATTAATCATGTAAAACAATTTTATACAAAGTTGTATTACAAGATATTTATATTAATAAAAGATTTATTATTATTTATAGTTACAATAATGTTGGATGTATCAAACCAAAATCCACTTACAAAAATAGAATAGTATATATCAGGAACATGATAATGTCAAATAACAAGAGGCACAATAGAGAATGTACAATTCAGGCCATCAGAGTGATGAAGAATATTCATAGCACAACCTCAGATTGCAACAATATTAGCATCATCGCTCCTCTGTGATTGCAGCTCACTGAGCTCACTCATCCTGGAGGATATGTTGTGTTGAGAGACAGATCTGTGGTTTTTGCTGTTTCTATGGTCTCCAGGATCTTTTCAGTTAACAAAAGAGCCTGTAGTGTTCTCAGTATTCATCTTCAGAAGCTCCTCAGGCTTTTTCCACTGATGCCTGTTTTTTTTTTCCCCCTGTGCAGAGTCAAAGAACATACCAGACCCAGACCTGGTGCTGAAGTTCGGCCCTGTGGAAAGCACACTTGGATTTCTTCCCTGGCACATCAGACTAACAGAGATTATGTGAGTATGTTTATGTATCGATGTAATTGAGCAAGCACAAACTGTACAGATTACATGCTAATTGCTTTGTACAGAACTAGGGATGGAACGATTACCGGTTTAACGATAAATCACGATAAAATGCCCTGACGGTTAGTATTACCGTTTAAAATTTAATTATCATCAAAACCGTGTTTGATTATCGCGCTTTTGAAAACTCGCGGTAAATCCTGTCCAGCCAGCATCAGTCTGACGCAGAAGCAGCATGCAGTGTTGTTGTTGTTTTTTTGTTGTTGTTGTTACTTGTCACTGTTTTGGAGCACACTGCCTTATAGATAATCTTAAGACTAACATATTGATGCCAACACCCAAAAAACTTTAATTTTGATTTCATGGGGACTTTTAAGTCAGAGCAGAATTACTTAAATTCATAAAGATGTTGCATTAAATATTGCATGCACTGCAAAAAATACCTTCTTGAATATTTTTGTCTTGTTTTGCAATACAAATATCTAAACAGCCTTAACTCAAAGTACACTTACTTTAGATGCAAACTGAAGTGTTGTTGTCTAAGACATTGAACAAAATGAAGTGAGTTCATGCTTAAAACAAGAACAAGATGGTATTCTTTAAAGTACAGTGGGCTTCAAAGTCCACAATAGATGTATAGAATATAAAATCAAAATTAAACCTGGAAATAAAGTGAAAATGTACAAAGAAAGTTCAGAGAAATAATGAGGGATCAGTAGCAGAAGGTCTGTGATTTACATAGTTGTGTTCGCATGTTTGTTTCCGTCAGTGCGTATGGTGGCATTTTGCCTGGAGAGTTTACTTAAATCCTTTCGCGTGATTATCAGCACAGATTAACAAGTAAACCTGTCCACGCTGGCACACTTATCTCTGGAAGCTTTCCCAGCGTGTGTGATGACTTGAGCAGCTCTGTGAGATCACGGCACACATGCAGACTTTCACCGCATTGCATCATGCAACCATCGTCAGCGTCCTGCAGTCTGACAGTCTCCATCTTAACTGTTTTAAACGCCAGTTTCTTGTCTTAATTAATATGCGTGGAGTTTTTACCTCACCAGATTGTGAATGATAAATGCCTTACTAATTTTATTAAAGGTTAAACAAATGCAAGGCATTTGTACACAGAGCAGCTAAGTATACACTTTTCGGTCTATATAAATTAAATTTAAAAATGAGATTACATGAGAAAATATTTATATTAATGAAATTGTAATGGTAAAAGCATATAAATATGGACTTTTTATCCTGTCGACTTGTTAAAGGATTAGTTCACCCAAAAATGAAAATTCTGTCATTTCCAAACCCGTAAGACCTTCCTTCATCTTCGGAACAGTAAACAGTATCATGACGCGAGCGTGTGGCGGCGCTGACCCAGATCCGGCGTAATGACGTTATCACGCCGGATCTGGGTCAGCGCCGCCACACGCTCGCGTCATGATACTGTTTACTGTTCCGAAGATGAAGGAAGGTCTTACGGGTTTGGAACAACACGAGGGTGAGTAATTAATGACAGAATTTTAATTTTTGGATGAACTAACCCTTTAAGAAACAGAATTTAATAGAGAAAGAAGCATGTACTTTTCCTTTTCACTGTGATAATTGCAAAATATATTGAACTAATGGAGAATGTAAATTTGCATTGTTCAACACTGAATGGTTTTTGTTTCTCTGAGCTTCCACTAGATGGCAGTGTGTCATTGCACTGATTCACTGCATTATTAGCAAACTTGATCCTGTTTAGTTTCCCTTCCATGTATCACGACACGTTCAGTCTTGTAAGCCTTGGATGGTGTTTGTCTGGTGACTGGTAACACATCTGTAGACTGTTAAAGTAATTAAAATGACTTTTTGATTTTTAGAAGTTTAAGTGATTGCACAAAATTGATTTACAATTATGCACCTACATTTCAGGTATGTAATTAGCTACATTTTAATTATATCAGCCCAACTACCCTGAGGAAACTGAGATAATCCAACCACATCTAATCATGTTCATTCCACTAAAATGAAATGTGCACATTTGGAAATGACTGAAATTGTGGAATATTTTTATTTATTTTTTTAGAGAAATTAGTACTTTTATACAGCAAGGGCACGTAAATTTGAATAAAAATGACAGTAAAGACATTTATAATGTTGCAAAAAGTTCTATTTTAACTAAATACTGTTCTTAATGTCAAGTCACCTTTATTTATATAGCGCTTTTAACAATACAGATTGTCAAAGCAGCTTTATAGTATTAAATAGGAAAATAGTGTGTCAATAATGCAAAAGGACTATAGTAAACACTCCATTTTCAGTTAAAGGCAGTTCATCATTGAATTCAGTGATGTCTTCATCCAGCTCAGTTCAGTTTAAATAGTATCTGTGCAATCAAGTCAACAATATCGCTGGAAACTTGTGACAATATCGCTTGTGAACCTGAAACCTAAAAAAATTGTCATAGTTGTGCTGCTTAATATTTTCCAACATTGATAAAAATAAGAAATATTTCTTGAGCAGCAAATCAGCATATGAGAATGATTTCTAAAGGACACTGAAGACTGGAGTAATGATGCTGAAAATTTAGCTTTGCATCACAAGAATAAATTACATTATAAAATGTATTAAAATAGAAAAGTTATTTTATTACCATTATAGTATTTTATTACTTTTAACAATATTACTAAATAGTATTACTCTTTTAGTGTATATTCGATCAAATAAATGCAGCCTTGGTGAGCATAAGAGCTTTTAAAATCATATTTATTTTATGCATTCTGTACTGCACAAATATTCAGTATGAGAGAAAAAAAACTGGTGTGGAACCAAGGTTTAGCTTTAGTTAAAAATCATGAAATGCAGCTGAAACAATATTTTCTAAATCGCCAATTAATCAACAGTTTCAACTGTTTTTCATTGTAAAATATTAAACCTATTTAAGAAAATAAAAGGCATCATTAAAATGAAACAAAAATAAGAACATAATATATGTGTGTTTCTGAAGTATTTGATCTCTCCATTTCTCTCTCCTCTCCACCTGTAGCTCCATGCCGTCCCACGTAGATGTCTCTTACGATGACCTGTTCGGTGCTCTGCAGCGCTATGCAACGTGCGAGCAGCGGTTGGGCAAGTGAGGATCAGTCTGCAGAACAGAACAGAAGGAACTGAACGAGCGAGAGGGGATGGAGGTGGTCCGTCCCTCTCTTCATGTTTACAGTACAAGCACTGGAGCCTCAGCGCCAGCAACCCGCTGCTGCTGCTCTTCTCTGCCAAGGCCTGCCGAGCGTCTCTCTCTCTGTGTGTGTGTGTGTGTGTGTGTGTGTGTGTGTGTGTGATTATACTCGTGCGTTTGTGTATGTGTGAGTCTCCCGTGAGTAACTACACGCAGAAAAGGGCACAAGCGCTGCCCTGCAAACAAGCCGGTCGCTCGAGGAGCTTGGTTAGCCATGTGGTGTAAATTTACCATCATTTTTTTTACTTTCCCGTATCTTTGGACACTTTGGAATGGTGGCAGTTCATAAAGGTGCACTGAACTCTTCCGAAGCTGCGTACAGTCATCCGTCTTGCACAGCGAACGAGAGCCCCTGGAGAGGGAATGCGCTTCTAGTTGCACAGCTGTCTTCAGACGGCGAGATTTTTCTACTTCGACGAATCTTCTGCATGCCGAATCTGTCTTATTGCAACGTCACGTTCCCATTAAGGCTATACAAGCGTGCTGTAAATGGTTATGTGTGTGTTTATTCGTAATTGTGTCGTTTGAATGTGCGCGTGTGTGCCACAAATTACACAAATTAGCATTAAAAACCCTGAAGTTTGTAATTCTAAGTGTGTAAATTGATTGCTCTACATCGTTCCCCTCCGAAAGCTCTCGCAGTTTGTTATGGCTCGTGGCGCTAATTATGTTTTTATTTGATTTTTAGTTAATATTGTTTCATTCAGAAGTCTGTTATTTTTTTCTGTCGATATCTCTATGGATCAGAAATGATTCACATGAATATTTCGTGAGATCCGTGATTGTTTTTTCATAAAAGGCCACAGGCTTTTAATGGTTCTGCTCAGCACAAGAAGTCTTAAATGTGTAATTCATGGGTTGGTTTGATAGTGTCCAGCGTGAATGTACAATAAACGTTACTGAATCCTTTAACTGTAGTTGTATTGAAAGTGGCATTGATTCTTCTGCGGTGGAGTGGAAATGAAAAGAGGAATGATTTTCTGTTGCAGCTTCACTCTCACACTTCCTGCTTCTGACTGGTTCTGTGTATTTCATCTGACAGTTCTTCATCTGGCTGGCACTTTTATCCAAAGTGACTTGCGTTCAGGCTATATATTTTATCACTATGATCCCTGGGAATTGAACTCATGGCATGACATGCTTTAGCAGTCACAGGAACTCTGCTGGTATATTGGATAAATCCTGAATAATTCTTCTACAGTAATTCAGCTTTTCGTCCATAAGGTTCACATATACTGCCACGCAGAAGTTTGGGGCCGTAAGGTTTTTCGAATGTTTTTTGAAAGAAGTCTCTTATGCTCACCAAGGCTGCATTTATTTGATTAAAAACACAGAAAATGTATTACGTTTTTTTAAATGTAATTTTATTCCTGTGAGTAAAGCTGAATTTTCAGCATCATTACTCCAGTCTTCAGTGTAACATGATCCTTCAGAAATCATTCTAATTTGCTGATTTGCTGCTCAAGAAACATTTCTTCTTATCAATGTTGAAAGCGGCTTTTTTGGTAACCGTGCTTTATTTTTTGCTTCAGATTCTTTAATAAATATTCATTTATTAATTGCGTTGCGTTTTTAATAGCATGTCTGCCTCAGGAGGACAGAATAATGCTGGAAATTAACATAAATTTGGCTCCATTTTATTTTTAATAAAAAAATCATTTGAAATAGACATCTTTTATAACATTATAGACGTATTTACTGTCAAATTTAATCAGTTCTTGTGCATCCTTGAAAGATAAAAAAAGATTTAAAAAAAAACCTAAACCCCAAACTTTTGAACAGTAGTGTTACTACACAATACTGCTGCACAATACAATGCAACCATTTAAAAAAAAAATATATATATATATATATATATATATATTAGATATAACCATTAATGCAGTTTATTTCCATTTTTATTATATTTACATTGAATGCACTCTTAAAACTAATCTATATAAACACTACATTATAACGTTATGGATAAATTCACTTGAAACATTTAAAATGGTTTATTTTAATTTGTAGTGTTCTATTTTATGTAGACAAAATATTAAAGAATTTTAATATTGGCCATTTACCATTTATTGACCATAACAAGAAGCCAAAATTATAATATTGGTTACAATGTTAACATTAACCAAATTAGCTACTGTCAAACAAAGGCAAAGAATGAATTGTCCTCATAGAGCTTCTGCTTTATAAACCTTTGGAAGGAATTGTTTATCTAAATTTTTTTTGTTTTTTTTTTTACAAATTTTATTTAATTTTTTAATACTCTCGTGTTGTTTCAAGCTTGTATGACTGATTGTCTTGTCAAACACAAAAGACGTTAACCAGAATGTCTAAGGATGATCTCAATCTCAAGAATGTACTTACCACCATAAATGTAGTTTGCACTCGAGCACTAGATTCCAACCTGTCTGAAGCCATACAATATCTTGTGTGAAACCCAGACTGAAATTAAACTTTGTGCAATAATGAATAACTCCTTGTGTGTTCTACAGAGTAAAGTCAGTCAGAGGGGTTTCAAAGGCATGAGTGATGGATTTACATTTTTGGGAGAACTGTAACTTTAAATTTACATTCATAAGTAGTAGATGTAATTGGAACATTAAAGCTGAAGGATGGGGGTTGTCATAAATTCCTCTTGTTCTTATTAAACACCTCCATGTCCAAAAATGCAGCTTCTGAAGTAGTTCACACATTTAGGTCCGTGAGGACAGGAGGTGTTATGAACATCTGGGCCTCCGATTAAATCCCGAGACTTATTCATTGCTTCTGTCAGGTGTCATTTACTTCTCCTTTTGAGGTAAAAGACTGTGAAAATGACTATATTGAGAAGAAAAAGCAGACCAGAACTGGTTGCCTTTGAATTTACCCTGCATTTGATGGTTCGATATGTTATTCAGATCTACGGCTGACTATGTTCAGAGTTACTAAAATCTGCTTTTCATATTCCCATGTTCTCACAGGAGAAGTTTCATTATAGATTGATGCTGGGATTGAAGATACGGCAGGTTGCGTTTTTAAGAGCATATCTGCCTCAGGAGGACAGAATAATGCTGGAAATTAACATAAATTTGGCTCCAAGGCTTTAGATTTTCGATGCAGTTTGAAATGTACAAACTAATTTGGTCTTACATGTCCCTCGTCATCTTTAATGTATTTCATGTTTTATTTGGAAAAGCTTTTCCATATTTATTGCTGTTTTTCATATCACTTAAGTTAGGCTAGATTTCTTTTCATATTTTTTCTTTTACATAGATTCATAGCCAGTCGGTGCGTTTGTTACAACTACAATTGTAAACAAGAAGGGTTTATTGCCTTAAGCATCTTCGCACAGAATCTAGTTTCTCCATTTTTTGTCTGTAAAGAGTAAATAAACGTGTGAGCTTCATTTGTACAATTTCATGTTCACGGCTGAACGTGAAAAATACATGACGACTTTGAACTAATAAGATTGTCAAGATGTTTGGGAGTATCTGAAGAACAAATTGTCATGACCTACTTGTGAACACCGGAAGAAAAAAAAAAGAATTATCTGGTATAGAAGTCGTCCTAATAGTTCTTGGTGAGTAAATTTGAGGTCCGGTATGGAACTATGCCTTATTAATAAATCCATATTTCACCATTATTTAAAATTATGATGAAAATTACTTGTGTCCAGTTATTTGTCATACTGTATGAAATATACTGTATTTTTATCAAATGAGAGATGTAAATTTGTGTTTTAATTTAAAGCAATATTAAATGATGTGTGTGTGTGTGTATATATATATATATATATATATATATATATAGCTTTTTTTCCTTTGGACATTTAATATATTTTTATATAAAGTTTGTTTCCTATCAAATGAACAATTCCATATCAAAGGAATAGTTCACCCATAAATGGAAAATTGCTGAAAATGTACTCCCCTTCTGGCCATCCAAGACGTAGATGAGGATGCGTGATTATGGATTTATAATTTGGCCGGAAGGTTTAAAGTTAAAACACTGTAATGATGGATTTGCTTCTTACAAACACGCAACTTTTCGCTTCACAAGATATTAATTGATAGACTGGAGTGGATTATTGTGATATTTTTATCAACAGTTTGGACTCTCATTCTGACGGCACCCATTCACTGCAGAGGATCCATTGGTGAGCAAGTGATGTAATGCTACATTTCTCCAAATCTGTTCTGATGAAGAAACAAACTCATCTACATCACGGATGGCCTGAGGGTTAAAACTGAATTTTCAGAAATCATATTTTCCTACCTTAGGCCCTAAGTAACTGGACATTTCAAAATGCTTTAGGGTTGAAGTTCAGTGCAAAATATTAATTAGCAAATTAGCAAAAAAACATTAATTAGCAAATAGCATGCTTAATATGATGAAATATGATGTCAGAAAGGTCAAAATCTTATTCTAAATGGCGGATTGTCATAATGGGGTTGAACTCTTGAGAAAAAAAAAAGTATCTTCTAGCCCATTCAAATATGGAGACATGCTAACCGATACTGATAAAATATATTTAATTATTTAATTGGTAATATTTTAAATATTTTTTAAATGTTTTCAATATTTTATTTTTTAACAGCTATGTTTATAATGTGAATATAATTTCAGTAATATGGTGCAGATTGCATCATTGCCTGACAGTAGGTACGTTTACATGAACACTTTTTGCTTCCATCGGAGTGAATTCATTCTGATTGACGAATCCGAACGTAGTGTTTACATGAACGCTAAAAGTGATCGGGTTGATATGCGTGTTTATGTCACAAGCTTCTAATCGGATTAATCTTTTGACATGCCACACTGCATGAATATACAGTTTCCCGCCGTTGTCGCATACTGTTTTAAAAAGCACACGTGATATTTATCTACTTCGGGTCCTAATTTAGGCGACGACCAGCACATGAACTGTTGTGCAGTGCTGCTTACTTTAAAAAAAGTAGTAAAAGTGACCCTTCCCGCACCCAAAACCAGTCGTCTGTTGATGAGAGTCTTAAACAAGGACTGGTGGGACGTTGTTCTGCTCCGGTTCACAGACGCTGAGTGAAAGGGGAGTTTTATAATGACGGGACACTCATTTATGGTCACTTTATTCACCAGGAAGAACAGCTCGTTCCGTGCGTCATACATCATTACGCTAGTTTTACGTCACTGCACATGCGCAGCACTTTCCAGTTTCGGTTTTCAATCCGATAAAGTGTTTAAATGTCCTCTCGCTCGGATTACAAAAGGAATAAACCACCCCTTACTATCCGATCGAAATTTAGTCGGATCTGGCCAATCCAATCCGATTGACATGTTTACATGTGACTTTTTTTAAATTCTGATTGTGCTTCTAGTCCTATTACGATCGGATTAGGGTCCATGTAAACGCAGCACTTTCTATGCTGTCTAAAGAAATGTAAACTATTTGCTTAGTTGAGCAGTACAGTATCTACATGAATCTCAACAAGTCTTGCAGCTCTTTGGTCCCTCGGTTTTACTAAATCTAGAAAATCAAACAAAGCAAACCAACCAACCAAATTTCATTGAGCATGATGCAAGCGTTTTTACTGATAGTGGATTAAGAACTTACCTGTGTCTGTCTGAATGACCTTTAGTGTTTGTTATATGGAGCTTTTTCTTTGTTCTTTTCATTGTACGTGCTTCCAATAAAGCACAAGTCCTCGTGGACCTTCAGTCAGTCAGAGAAAGGCATCGACCGTGGCTCTAGGTGATCCACCCCCCGTGGCTAATAAGATAAATATTGCAGCAGCAGGCTAACACCTTGAATAGAAACAAATCAATTGGTCACCAGAGCACATTCAACGGAGGTGCTTAGAAAGAATAATTCAGACCTGCCTACAAAAATAACATCTCGTAGTAGATTAGCCCAAGTCTAAATGATCATTAGGTTGTTTCAGGGAACACCCAACAGTCGGGATGCATTAGCAGACACATAAATCCACTCGAGGACCTGCTTTATGAGCTCTGCAGTTCCCTTGTTTTTATTGATTTGAATTTGTGCCTATTTATAGTACAGACATTGTCAGGTCGTTCTCTTGTAATAGGGTGTTTGTCTCCTGCCGCTCGACAAAGCAGTCATGTTGCAGTCACGGGCCCTCAGCAAAGGAAAAAGATAACGGCTTCTTTATATATCAGCATTCTTCAGGCTGAGTGAAATTTTAAATGGATTTCGCACCCGATAGTCTTTCAGTCAAGAAATCGATTGTAAGATATTGGCTGTGTTCGGAATAGCATACTAACTACTGCTGTTATGTACACTGCACACATTTCTGTTTGCATAAAGAACTCCTACCAAAATGGGCAAGCACGCTGCCAGGAATAATGT